AAAACTTCACAAAGGGAAGCCAATTTCTCCATCTCTGCATGCTAGCAATAGTCTGGCTGCTCCCATCTTGAATCTAATTCACATTCTGAAGTTGTCCCAGACATGACAGACAGCAAAGACAAAACTTTTCTGAGCAGGACAGCACAAAATTTCCTTAAGCAGAGGAATTCATCTTCAGCATGTCSCAGGCTTCAGGGAGAACATAAATTTTAAAATGCCAACATCTGTGTTTGAATATTCAGAGATGGAAGCACAAGATAGGAGGATGCTGTCACACGTTCCCAGGTGACCTGCTCAGTGCCCCACGTGGTTTGTAAAAGGCATCTTTGAACAACAGTATTACGCACTTTGTTTCCTAAAAGATACTGATTTCCAATATTTTAACAGGTCCTTTGAAACATGCCGTGATCCATGTATTTATTGCTTGAGTGGCTCTTAGGTCTCAGGTGCAAAGGGCTGCCTGGGGCTACATGCCTGTCTACACAGAACACGATTAAAGACAGAATTCAGACCAATACTCAGAGGGACATTTCAAGCAATACAAAACTCTTTGGATAAGAAAGGAGCAGAATTTTCTTACTTTTACCCCATTCAGCTCCAAATTTTCACTTGCAGTAGACAGAGTTCTGCAAGTGCAAGTACAAGGAAATACGGATTATAAGAGGATTCAGCTTCTCAAATGAGCCATTTGGCTGGCCTAAAGCCACATTATTCTCTGCACCCCAGACCAAACCACATATGTTCCTTTCTTCAAAAGGAGTTCATGGACATACAAACTCTACTTCCCCAGCTTATTTATTATTGACCATCTCAGTTTGGAAACACAGCTTAAAATAAACGAGCCTGAATGACACTGACTGCAGGGTTATTAAACTGCCTGGCATTGAGGAAATTGCTTTTCATAAACATCCCAAGCGCTTTTGGCTTTTTCCTTGAAGTATTTAATACAGTGAGAGTCCAAGTTAATCTGAATCAGTCTGAACACTGAATTGCTAATGAGAAGGGAAGATGTATTATTGTTCAATATTGAAAGGCTAAAGTTAAAGGACAGAGCAGAGAAGAGAAAGGAGTTTCACAGAGTACAAATAATATTATTTGCTGTCACTTGATGCACTAGCTAGTCTGTGAAAGAAAATACATTTTTCCCACATACACACCTTAGTATGTGTCAATGCCCAGGGGATGCTCCTTTTGGGTGTCCTCTTCATGACTCCAGAAAGCCTTTTCCAACACCAGCACTTTTCTGGTGGATCTGCAGACATAKGCAATGCAGAAGCTAATAGCAGATCTTCACAGCAAAAGAGACAGCATTTTCCATAGATTTTCACACTGCCCRCAGCCTCAGAAGTACAATAAATCTACACAATTGCACACTCCCTACTAAACACTTGCTCTATACAGCACTTAGATGTCCTATTTCTGCCCTAGTGCTTTGCCAGGTGCCCAGAGAAGACACAAAGCAAATCAGCTAGGGAAACCCAAATCCAAGCACATTTAACCCAAATGCCAGGAAGGATTTTCTTCTGTCTCACAGTCGCCATTAGCCAATAGTTTGTAAAAGCTCTTTGGATGTGAAATAGCTGCTGCCACAACAGCACTAGGAGGTGAAGGGGTGACCCATCCTACCTGCTTCTTGCTGCTGGGACTCCTTCCTTACTTATTGCCTATACCTGCACTAGATTCCTCTAAACAACCTTAGAGGGTCTCTCTTTATGCAGAACCTCATGTTCTCAATTCAAAACAGGTGTGGGGCTGAATTTCCTGCACCACATCTGATGCTCCTCAGCACCCTCCCAGGTGCTGGTGGTTGCTGGAGGGCTCTGGGTCTGATCACTCCTGGTCACCCAGGCTGACAGGGGGATACACAGCAGAGCTCTGAAGGAGCAACCAATTTTTCAACATCTAGCCCATACCAAAGCCAAGAGGTGAAAAGAGAGGAAGAGGTTGAAAATGCAGATAAAACCTAAATTGTCTCAGATTCACAGAACCGGCTAGGGTGCACTGGAAAAATGCCAAAATGAGGCAGTGCTCCCTGCATTGCCTTTCAGCAGGGCCCAAGGGCCCCCATGCAGCAGGACAGGGGCTTTCGGCTGTGCTGCCACCACCCATCTGGTTGCTCCCCAGCTCCGCTTCCTGCAGCTRAAGCCATCCCAGCGTGAGCACTCTTTGTTGCAGACAAAATTATCCAACAAGAGAAAATTATGTGCCATTACCATTAAAAGCAGGGTGTGAAAAGCTCCAAGTCTGCATATCCCCAGCTCTGCAAATCCCTTTCTCTACCTTTGCACTAAATAGGTCTCATTTAGCCCATTTGTTCCGTCCCAGGCAGGCAAAGGCAAAGCAGGGCTGCTCGATTTGTTAATTACAGTAATTTTGTCTTAACCACAGACAGCTGGGTGTTCCTGAAGCCACAAATTCGCCGGTTAGAGGGAGACCTCCCCCCAGCTACACAACGAGGGATAATAATAATAATAATAAGTGGCTCATCAGAGATGCAGCGCGCAATGCGGGGCTCCGTGAGCGCCAGATGGGGAGGCCTGTTAGGGAACCCCCAYGTCTGCTTCCCCCTTCCAGGAAAACACCACCATGTCCCTAACGGTCCCTGCCGAGGCCGCTCYGCTGGCTTGTCCCAGCTCACGCACGGTTGTGTTGCTTCCCGAGTCCCCTTTGCGCCCGGGGAAGGGCTCACGGTGGTGGCCCTGGGCCAGGTGACAGTCACTTACTCAGTGTGCACTGGCTTGGAGACAACAGGGGCACAGGGTCTACAGGATCCCAGTCCTCACTATTTCCAAAGCCCTGGGTGAAACTCTGCATATCTAGTCTTGACAGATATCTATCAATTTCTCCTCTATCCATCAATTTCTGATATGACATAAGTCACAAAACTCTCCAAACCTCCTCTTCCCCCCCAGTAGGACGAGCCAGTTTTAATTTGTATGTACCAAGGTTACATCACATCCAGACCAGAACCATCACAGTCCACACACGCCTGAGACTTCTGGTCCCAAGCGTGGAGCAGAGTGGAGCACACGCAACGCTGGAGGCTACATCCTCACCATGCAGAAAGGGCAGCAAGGGGTAAATTGAGGCACAGAAAGCAGCCCTGGGTCTTTAATCTGCAAAGGGAACCGTCGCAGCACATTGGGGTAGCTGCTGAGAACAGGATTTGTGGGGAGTGGTGGCCACCTCCAAATGATCCTGCTGGAAACGCACGGTGCTCAGAGGAGATYTTGGAAGAGCAGAGCCGGCTGTTTGCTGGAAGAAGCCAAGTTGCACTCATATATTTYTATTTATGTGCCTGAGTCTCCATTATGTCCAAGAGCAACCAGACTGAACTCACACAGAAARAGAATTCCATTGTGAGATCTGCACATGAGCAGGCAGAAACACAGATGTCATTGGCCTTATTTTCCARAAGATAAATAGGGAGAACAGTAGAGGAAATAAACAATTTTAAATAAAATGCAGAGGGTKTTTTTCCTGCTTTTTAATGACAATCCAATAAATCAGTATCCAGTCATTTAGTCACTCACTSTGCTCTAGGAAATGGGTTTACTTGTTTCCCTCCAAGTGCCGAGCATCCTCTCTCCCTTTAAAGCCCTCACGTTTCCACACAGATTTTTCCCTGAAGCAAATTATTTATTGTTTTCAAAATGTGGTATTTAAGTCAGTGTCGCTTCCCCCTCAGATATATTTAACCAGTATGTGCAATATTCTTCTACGCTCTTTCCTGCTATCACAGCACCCTGGACTTGAAGTTCCTGCAGAACAAATAGCGCGTTTTCGCTCTGAGCGGATGAGATAGCAATGTAATGATCAATCAAAAAACACCCTCRGGCTCAGAGGAGATTAGCACTTTGATACTGCTGAAGATGAATGGGTGGAATGGGTTGGATAAGCTGGTGTTTTCCTCAGATAATTGCTCTGAAAAGCTTTCTAAGGCCACTGGGCTCCTCCTCCTCATTGCCTTTTGTTTTAGTATAGGATGGCAAGGCCAGCATCCTGGATCTAGGATAGGCTGCTACGGGTCCCCTTTTAAATAAATAGCAGGTGATTTATGCCTTATTTCTTCACCCTATACTGAGCAATACGTATTAGTCATTTAGCCCCACTTGTTCAGCCTCATTTATTAATTCTTCTTGAATCTTCTGAGCCAGCACTGCTCAGGGAGGGCTGGGAGCACAAACATGGATATCTTACGTGACTTAAGGTTCAAATTTAAGAGGAACTTTTAACAGAAGCTCTTCATCCCTGAGAACTCACTGCCCCTTCCTGCTCTTGATCGGACCCCATGAATGAAGAGCTGCAGGGAAAAACAGCTCCTAGATGGAGCTCCCAAACTTGCACTGGGCTTCTTAAGCCAGGTCCTGAGCTCCAGCTCTTCCTGTTCCTGCACTCCTCTCCCTTAACCATGTTGGAGACTAGTCCAGCAGGAGCCCCAGCATAAGACACAGGCATCAGGTTCCCTTAGGGTCCCCCTCATCCCTCTCAACCCATCCAGATGATGTCTGCAGACTCACCCGCCCATGCCACCAAGAACACAGGAGCCAAAGGCTTTTATTGTATTTATTGTTTCAATGATTAAATGGATTTTAAATACAGAATTGTAAAATCTGTAAAAAAGAGTTATTAAAAGCCAGAATTCAAAAGCAGGTTGCACATCAGTGACTATTCCAAATGCATCCTTGCTGTTTGGTACAAAGTTAGAAAATAAAAATGAAAAAAAAAAAAAAAATCCACCTTTTGGCCAGAGATGATTTTTTTTTTTAATTACATTTTCCTTTCAGCACAGAGTACTGATATTTGTCTCCAAAGATTCTCCCGCCAGCACTGTTTTTCACAGCACTGGTTCACATTGTTTGGTGTTCTAAAAAAAGAAAAACCCTCAGCTTTGTTCTTTACAGAAGCAGCAATGTAGCAGTTCCCCCTCGTAGGTACTGAGGTCAGTGTGTTAAAAAAATCCAGCATATGAGAGGTGGAGACAATTCTAAGATCATACAAGTTAAACTAATCCCTACAAAACACACACACACATCTTTAYGCAGGAACAGGTTCTCGTCTCCCACCATTATTCTGTTTTCAATGATACTCTTGCACAGTAGGTATTTTTTGGAGTATCACCCTTCTGGCATTTGCTCCTTGCTAAGCCCTGTCCCTGCAACAAATTTTTCCAGAGGTGATTAGTGAATAGGTACCTTGGATTCTTAATGCCCGATTTTAGAGCAGCTTGATCTCGAGACACACAGCACACCCATCCTCAACAAGAGCAGGCAGCCCTTCTAGGCACAATTTAAGCTCTATTAAACAGAGGCATCCCCAAAAGTCTTGATATGGGGTTGTGGGTTGGCTGTTTGGGTGCTTTTTTTCATCAAGTTGCTATTATGTCTCAGAGAGACAGCTATGAAGGCGATTCCTTGCACCACTGAACCTGCATCATCCTGGTCAAAAGTGTCAACACACTGTAATATACAACATTTTAAGACATCAGCATCACACACACAGTATTCACAACAGGTTAGAGARAACATGGACAGCTATGGCTCACCTGCTTCTCAAGGACCGTAATCCCCAAGAGAACTGAGCCACAAAGACAGACAAACCACAGACCGGAGTGCTCTTAAAGAGCATCACGACTTAAAGGTAACAAAGAGGGACAGCTACATATCAGAACGGAGGGAAAAAAAGGAGGAGGAGACAAAGCTCAGATTGCAGTGGAAAAACTGAGTTATACAGAAGAAATAATACTGGAGATTGTCACTAGCTCAGGTAGGACTTGGCAGATGCAATACTTGGAGTATACACTTGCAGGGCAGCCCTGCTTCAGCCACACGAATAAATACCCAACAGTGTTTAAAAACAGTATAAAAACAACGAGGCCAGGATTTTCAGAGACGCTGCCTGGTCCATGCCCCGCAGGCGCCTCGCGGGCTCCCTCGCGTGAGGTCTCGGAGCATCGCTGCCATGGCCGGGAGCTGCCTCCGTGCTCTGCTCCGGCTGCAGTCCGCGTCGCTGCACTCACCCAATGCTCACCCAGCACGAGGGGCCAGCAGCTCCCTTCGGTCACCAGCGCGGAGAGCCRTGACACAGACGGACGCGCACGGACCTTGTTTCAGCCACTGCACGTCTCAGGGCTTTGGGTGTTTGTTTGCTCATAAACAGACCTGTTCAGAGAGGCTTCCAGGAAGGAATTCCATTTGTGCGGCCAGGTGAGACCACCAACCTCCCTTTGGTTTGAGGATGCTCCCCTCAGTTATCACTTCCTAGGTAGGTTTGTAAAAATAACTGTACAGCAAAAAAAAAGCAAAATAAAAAAAAGGTGTCATACCCACCAGGGATAGCCTGCAGGCTTCTGTATTACCAGCAGGACCTGTGTGGGACAGACATCTCTTAGCAAATTGTCCGTTTGAAGTTTTCCATGCATTCCACACTGCATCCAGTAAAAATGATTTTCCTGCATGTGTTGAGTGTATTGGACTGCACTCATTAAATACAAGCTGTCAGCTTTGCATCATGGTGGGTCTTTTAAACACATCCTTTTCCATTCTTCAGAGAAATTTGCAGTACCTTAAGAGTGAAACACAGGCTCGCAACTTATTGTGGCAGTGGGTAACAGGCAGCAGTGGATCTTACCAAAAGGATGCCAAGTACCACTGCAGCGTTCAGCTATCGCTCCTCCAAGTCATGGTGTTGATCAAAAAAGCCAACCCAGAAGAAACAGATGTGTTCTACCATCTTCATCAAGTTTCTCCTCTCACCTTCCATCCTTATTGTCCAAATTTTGTAGTTTTATTTGCACATTATTTTTTCCCTGGAGGGAGATGTTTTTACCTTTTTAAATTATATAAGATGGGTTTTGCTTAATTATCCATTCTGCATGGGGGTTGATGTGGTACAAGTCTAAGAGGTAAGTGTCTGGATCCAGGCAATGCTCACCTACCAAAACAAGAAATCCAAGAAAAAAATTATTTCTTAGACCCTTAGTCTCACAGTTATCAATTTCTCCKAAAACCAGTATTTGTTCTCATCCATTTCAAAATTACAAACATTCAAAAGTTTTCCTGCAATAATTAAGAAGGCACTTTAGCATCTAATAACTTTAACCCAAGGAACTTGGGCACATGAAGATAGTTATGATATCTGGTGGGGTTCAAATCCAGTAGAGTGACCCACTTCCAAACAGAAGAACATTTTCTTAGAAAAAACACCCCGTGGCAGCCAAATCACTCCAGTTACCGACAGTTTGCAGCCACAACAGGGTATAAGCAGTAATTCCCATTTTCATTCCCTTSCATTCCACCACTACAATCATGAGTCAAGCCTCCTCCCCACTTGACAGAATTGCCTTGTTTCATGAGAGGAAGTCAGTGACTAACCAAGATCAACAACTTGCTTGACCAGATGGTTTAAGAAATCTCCCCACATGGTGTTACTTGGTCTTTAGTAAAAAAGTCTCTAGTTAAATAAAGGCAGAATTTACATCTGGAGTCAGCAGCTGCTAGCACAGCTTCAGTGTTGCAGCTGACCACAATTATTTAATGCCCAGATAAAAGCACCGTGCTTAAACACATAGTGGAATAGGATGATATTGCTCTTTAACTCCATGACAGTAGTTTATGGCTTTAAGTTTGCCATTAAATTCCAAACAGGAACCTTTATCACTGAGTGTAGAGGGAGTATCTTATCTCCTGATACATCCAATAGAATGGGATGAAAAAGGCAGATGAATTGCATGTCTCTGTACTCAAGAAATTTGGATTTTCCATCCTTGTCAGATTTCTTCTAAAAATGATCCATTAGTGTAACRTATTTTTGGAAGCCTAGGCTTCAGCTTTCCCACATATTTGCCCTGTAAAAACTTTTCAGTGATGACAAACATGTGAACTAYGTAGACAGCACACAGGAAATTTGGCAGATGCTGTTCACTGAGAATGAGCTAATTCAAGCTTCTTGATTTTTTTCTTCTAGCTTTTGGAATTCCGTCCAAATTTGAGCCCCCTTATAAGTAGTACTGACAAGTTCTGATATCAAAGTCTTCATGTCAGTTATCACCCAGTCTTACCAATATTGCCACCCACTTCATACAGGAGCAGGTTGGTAGACTCCATAGAGTTGTTACTGCAAACAAGCAAACAAAAAAGACGACATTAAAGCTGACAGAGCTCTGTGGGAGAGGTCTGACATTTTTGTCACTTGCATCCAAAGGAACTGCTCGTGTTTTGGAGGCCAACAGCGGTTAAGAGAGGTGCAGGCTACAGTACAGTAACCTTGCTGATCCTCCAGAACAGGGAAACTCTTGAAATCACCAAAATTGGAGGTGGAGAGAGAGGAAGGGAAATAAGGCAGATGTTCCTCACAGTGAGGACTACACTGTATGCAGACACTAACTCCTCAATAGGAGACAAACAGCACAAATACCCAAGTTCACCAGCAGCTTTCTCTTAGGTCTGACACCTGCACAGGTAAAGCTCATCTTCAGGAATTTCTCAGCAGCTACAGCAGCCTGTTAGATGGATGCTAGCCCCCAGCTGAGCCATATTCAGCCAACTTCGAATCCCCACTTCATGTCTGAACATCTCCTGCATTGAAGAGATGCACTTACATCCCATCTACATGGATGCAGGGGAGGAGGGAGAAAGAGACGTTTTTCCAGTAAGCATCAGGCTCAACTTCTTTGGGAACCCTCTGTCTTTATATATGCATACYGGAGAACAGAGAACTGCCTTCTCCCTGCTCCCTGTGCCATCACCACAAGGCAAAAAACACACAGTAACTCCACTGCTTGCTCATTTTATTATTATTTTAATAGCAGATAGAATCTCTTACCACTTGAGGAGGTTGACGGTGTTAACGATGTTCCAGCCGTTCTGGCACAGATTCTTCTGAAACTGCTTCAAGACATCAGCAACTCTGGTTGCRTTGTTCAAATGGACCTCCAGAGAGTCTTTCAGGAGGAGAGAAGTGTGGACCTTCACAACCTTGGAAGGCTGAGCAAGAAAGGCAAAGAGGCAAGAAAGACAAAATGCTTAAATTTCGCCAGACCATGGTACCAACTAAAACACCAAGTTTGCTTAGACTRAGGAGAGCGGAGAATCAAGCTGCTGCTCAGGGACTTCATGCTTGTGCCTTACTCCACACACGCTACATTATGGAAAGGTTAYAACAGCATCATGGTGAACATTATAAACAAATCAACTTGGCCTCAGCCTTGAGGCTGRGGAGAAAATGCAGATCTTCATGATAGCATGTACTGGTGCTCCCTGCTGTTCAAATACAGCACTGGCATCAGGAGAGCAACGCGAGCTTTGATGAAACAAGCATTTGTCAGGGTGTTTTAAACTGTTTTGATAGAATTTGTTGGAATTTATTTGAAGAAGAGTAAAAGGAATTTAGACTGTTGAAGGGTATTTTACAAACTATTAGAGAAAAAAATCAGTGGAATGTTAGGAAACAGAATCCAGGTGTTATTTCATCAAGACTATTTTCATCAACCCTAGAAAGACTTTTTCAGAATTCCTGGGGAGAAACTGCACTCCTGGTTCCGTCTCTTTTCTCCAGGATGCACGTAGCACCTTAACTCCACATTCTGTGGTATGAAATTTGTTTAGTGTACTGCATGTTGGGAACCTTTCTCTTTGCCACAAACTAGCAAGGGGAGTTCAAGAAGCTGCTTCTCATGGTTCTGTAGTTTTTCTGCCTCTTRCTTTGTAAAGAGAAACACTGCTGGGAATTTCAAAGTTGAAAAATTATTCAACCCGATTATGAGAGAGTATAGTTTTTCAAGTCCTAACTCACCTCTGCCTGGTTCTTTTCCACCTTGTCTTTATCAGCATGGATCTTCCGCAACAAGTTTTTTATTCGCTTGTCACAGAACTGGTACCTTTTGCTATTGCTCTCATTCAGTTTTCTCACTTGAGCTACCAAAAAGGAGGAGACCTGGCCAGGCGATAAGGGAAAAAGAAGGAATTAAAACAAAGTGGACAGAGATGAGGATTCCATTTAAGAACCCAAAGGTCACTTTGTAAAGCTTTACAAATAGAAAAAAATATCAACAGACCTTGAAAGCAGGTAAAGCAGCCAGAGGTTTTGTCTATAGACATTTGACTGCTCTGACATTTCCAAAACTATCCCTTCCCCTGTTCCAGTCCTGGGCAATCAAGAGGCAGAGGCCACACTACAAAACACCCGTGCAACTCACTGTCCAGAGCAGATCCTGGTAATGGATCATCATCCGCACAACGTCAGCTGCCCCCTCTGCCAGCTGCTTCTCCTTCCCTTCGGGAATCTTGTTGGGCAGGCCCTTGTGCATGAAGAGGTTGGGAGCCATGACCGTGGAAACRTTCCAGAGGTTCATCTTGTTGTTTTTCTCCCTGGCAACCACTTTGCTGAGAAATTCAAGTAGTGCCTAAGGTGAGAGAAGAGGCTGGACTTTGAGTATTTATTGCCAATAATATCCTGAAAAACTAGCACAACATTTCCTGGAAAGACTATCTGACTAGCCTGCTCTCCTATAACAAGTTTCCATTCTCAATTCAGTGAAATAAAAACAAAAACACACACACAAATAACATGATTTACATTAATCATACTTTCCTTTAGAAAAGCTGCTAGCATTCCTAGAACAAAAACATGGAAGGATATTGTGGCTTTCCAGTTAAATCAACAACAGATACAATTACCTTTAAAGTGTTTCTATTGGGCTCCGGTAGAATCAGGATAAGGAGGTTAAGGGCTTGCAATCTTTGCTTCAGGTCTGGAATATCTAGAGGGAGATAAAGAGATAATGTGACAGAGATTCCCACCCCATATTTCTTGTGCCCMAAGAATTGTGGGCTGAAAAAATTATTTTAAACATATTCTAGACATCTGTTAGGGCACAATATGTACATGCCACAGCTCTATATGMATGTGGTTATTTATCAAGTCACAGAATGGTTGAGGTTGGAAGGGACCTCTAGAGATCATCTAGTCCAACCTCCTTGCTCCAGCAGGGACACCTAGAATAGCCTAATTCTCGGTGGCAACCTTGCAGCCTCAAAYGTTACAACACACTTAAAGACTCCAGGACTGTGTGCCTCCACCTTCCCAAATTTTTGTATATAATCTACCACTGGAGAAGAAGGGTGAGACTGATGCATTACAGCATCTATTACACTTAGCACAGTAAGTCTGATCYGCTAAATGTCACATTCCCACCAGATCAAAACACCCCTGACAGGAAGTCCCAAATTCTGTAGAGTTTTCCTAGAAAAAARSAAGACAAAAAACCAGACAACTTMTCCCMAAACCAGGTAATGAGTACTAAGCAGYCAAAAGAGGGACTCACTTTGTACAGCAGCAAAAGCAGGCAGATACTCTGCAGTCAGGAGCGGTGCAGGCAGCTCTCTGATGAATCTCTTCAGGAGCCCCGACACGTCGTTCTGATGGACATCATCCCAGCGGAAAAGGCCACTATAGAAGTCACTTTCTAGTTTCTGCTCCAGGCTCTATRTATAAAAACACACACATGAATACTTGAGGGCAAAATATCAAGTGAGAAGAACACAGAGGCCCTCACAGACCCTCCAGTTTCTCAGCCATGGACATTTCTAATTGTACTGGGAAGGAAGACAAGGAAATTCAGTTTAAGCCTCMTCTTGGTATCAGTTCAGCAACATGCTCACTGATCATTCTGATACTTATTAAACTACCAGAGAACTCATACCTTAATTCTGGTCTGGGATCCAGAGACTCTCAAAATGCCCTCAGTTTCAAGTCCTCTCTTTTCCAGACATGACAGTAACTATTAAGAACAGAGAAGAAAAACAAAAAACAGCAGCARCAACAACAACAACAAAAACACTTTTAGGTTACTCAAAATAAGAAGTCAGTCCTTCCCTATCACAGACTTCAAAGCCTTCCTGACTTGGAGGATCAGAAGTGCAGATAAAATCATTAGGGAACTTACTGCCTGGAGTAGCAGAGGGACCTTGGTGTTGGGGAGTAGTTTTTGGTCGTTTTCCAACAGCGTGTTGAGTGGAACTCCAAAGAGTCTTTTCTCTGAAAAAGAAATAATATATGCTGCAAGTCTATGCCACCATCCACGCAGGTGAATGGAAGTTTCTACCATCACAGCCTAAGACCATGCAGGTGAGGGAAATTTCTATCATCACAGTCTAAGACCACTTTTTTTTTTTTTTTTTTTTTTGCATATTAACTAACCTGCTGTTTTCAATTTCACTGCCTTGTTTCTCTTCAGCTCAAAGCCTAGGACATCACAGAGGGCCGTCAGCTCAATAAGGGCCAGTGTGGGAATCTTCTTCATGTCCTGAGCAGACAGATCTCCAATCCTGGTCACTCCTAGTCTGCCCTTGGGGATCTTAAATTTCTAAAGGAAAACACACAGAAAGTTTTGGTACAAGTAACACTAATGACTCTCTTAGTTTTCAAGCTCTTTTGCRTCACCCAGACATCTACTCATTATCCTGTTTCAGCACTACACAAATACCCTGAACTACTCCTACTCTATCCACTGTTGAAGAAAGTTGTCCAATTTCCAGCATTACTTTTGTAGTTGTATGAAGATCCTGGTTTACTTAAGTTAAAGACAGTCAGGTAGCCACCTTAATCTAGCTGAGCTTTAGAAGCAGTCCAGGACATCTGTGAAGAAAACTGAAAGCATCACAAGTAAAAAAGTCCACTTATTCTCCTCTTTTCAGTGGAAGTGGCCCAGATAATACTATTGCTAAAGTTTCTTAAGAAAAACTTCCTCTCTAACTCTGTTATCTTTGTTCAGCACTGAATTGAAAACAGCTTTGCCTTTCCAAAAATATCTGCCTCATATAGACCTGTTGTGACACTACCCAGACACCAACTCTCCTCTAGACAAGAGGGCAGCTAGTAAGGTTGATCAGGGAAAAAAGGAATCTTTCTGAGCTTACAGTTAGGACATTGCCATCCTTTATCCTCCTGGAATCTGACAGGAAGGATCCTTTGAGCAGAACSGCTGCCTGCTCCGAATAGGCAACGTCCATGTTGAACACCTCTTCTTTCCCAGAGTTTCGAACTGTGCAGGAGTAATCCTGAGTTTCTGCTACACGAAGAGAAAAAAAGAAAATTGACTCCAAGTTCAGAAAGCCAAAGGAATGAACCGTAATAAATAAGAGAATAGTTGGGATTGATAGGGATTTGGAGACCACTTTTATTTTTTAAAGACTGTATTAACACCTGATAGGGTTGTTGTCATAGCACAGTCCTGAGACAGCTTAGTAGATTAACTCAAAGCCTTAGCATTACAGCTGCAATCACCAAGATCAGAGTAAGATGTGCACAGCCTTTTATTTAAGGACATACCTGTGGCTACCTTCTCTCTATGCAGGCACTTAAGGTGTTCACATGGTTTCCCTGCGCTTTGTCAGTCATTTATTTGCATTTCCTAATTACTTTCTGGAAGAGTTATAGTTATCAGTATGAGTTGCAGTTCCTAAAAGTGCTGTCACAGGAGAAGCCTACTAAACCCACAGCTGAGGTTATATTTAAAAAAACACAAACAAGGCCAAAGCTTCAGGCCTCCTCAACAGCAGTACCATACCACATGTTATGTCACAGTAACAGTCTTTGCAGACGCTTTAAAACTGTCACCAGAGCTGCTCGAGCTCAGAGCCTGGATGAGCTGAGCACCTTTGGTGTTCCAGCCCTACTACAGAACTGTCAGGGTGAAAAACCACTGCAAGGCCTTTATTTGTGGGCTTATTATTTCATATAACAGCTTTTCAACAAAACAGGCTTTCAAATGCATCTTGGAGTCAACAGCTACAGAGTCAACAGAGTCAACAGAGGGCATAAGCCCTCTTCCATCTAAGCTATAGATCAGCTGATGAGGATGAGCTTCAACACTCCTCTTAAATATGCCCTGCCAACCATCTTCTAGTCTCTTACCACTGCAGGATTATCACAGGAAAAGTGATACAAATACAGGTATTAATGCTGATGCTTCAAAAGAAGGGATAGTCTTGTGTGTAGACCATGAAAATGGGATAAGACACTCTTAGTTAAAGCATGCCTCTTCCCTTAACTTGAGAGAAACCCACTACACATTAAAACTTTCTGCTTACGTTTCTGCACATTTGCACTCTGTAGATTGTGCCACAACTGGTCTGGTCTGGTCTCCTCCTTCTGTGTCACTGTCTCCTGAAAAAATAAACAAGGACACGTTTGTCTACACAAAATAGAACAAGAAATGCCATAAGCCAACATGATTTTGGCCAAAGAGCACACCTGAGAAAGAAAACAGTGCTCAAGATGAGGGCTACACGACTGCTCAGGAATTACAAGTCACTGAAGCAATCATAACTGGAGAATTTGGCATGCAGAAGGAAAACAGTATTTGTCACAAATCTCCACATCCTTAAACCAACTGCTAAGTTGTTATTTTCACACAACCTGCAGCCATTTGCCCCCTTATTTCAGGTCCTGAAGTGCTAACAAACTGCCACAGCGCACCAGTCACACAGCATGGGCTAAGCTCACAAGTAATTTATCTGCCATTTGGACACATAAGAAAGTGCCTAGTTAATAGACTCCAGCACCTAAAAGCCTCCCTTCACCAGCTTTATAGCAACCTCTACAGGTCTCATTAGACAAATGAAGCACAAGGAGGTATTTGCCAGCCAAATATGCCAATAAAAGAAACTCTTTCTTGCTAAAACTATTGAGAACATAGCAAAGATATTCTGTTAGGAAAAAGTTAGCAATTTTCTGATAACTTGTTTACAACACTGAATTGGAAAACCACCTGGGACAGTTATCTGAAAAGCCTGCTTCCCTCTGGACTTGCTTTGAGAATGACTCAAGCATAAAGGAGCTTGACTCAGTGCCTGAATTTTTGCCTAAAATGAGCATCTGACACTCTCCCCAAAATAGAAGTAGCAAACCCCATCTCTCCATAACCTGGAAAAGAAGAGCAAGGACTACAGAGGTAACCTGCTAAGTGATGAGATTCCTTTAAAACACATTTTCTTGTGTTGAAAAAGAAAACTTTGCATTTAAAAGTATTTACAAGCGTGAGAAAACTGTCTTTTTGGTTCAGTGCGTTCTGCTAACAACTAAAGAAAGTTTTAGAGTTGCCTCCCACGTCAAGTCAAACAATATTGAGCCAAAAAAAAAATATGAATAAGTCCAACAGATCTAGAGGTTTTGGAAGGGTGTCCAATGGTCTTGCCTGAAGCTAGAAGTGTTCCATTTTTAATCAAGTTATAGCTATTCAAACAGGCAGTCTTAGCATCTTTACACATGCCTTCAGCATACCAAAATGCCATTTTAAAACATCAGCTTGGATTCTCAGTTGCTTGGATTATCAAATGCAAATATTAGCAACRTACTGAGTAGGCAGGGTGGATTAAGAGTTCATAAAAACCTCCATTCTTTCACAACAGAAAGTTGAGCCATTTCAAGAGATACAGTCTTAATCTGCAAACATAAAAACATCAAATTTCACCTGAGGCCCTTAAGACAACCTTGCAGAGTTACTGCTTTTAGAAACATCATTTTTTGTCACTCATTCACCCAGGAATGTGAATAATGCTCTGCAAAAGCAAATGAATCATGACTCAGTCTTGGCATAACCTACATCTCAACCCTAGGTGAGTTACAGGAAATACAACTACACCAGTCAAGGATTATCCAGTCCACTACACCAGTCAACTACAAGTCAAGGATTATCAGCTGTGCAAATACAGTTGTCCAGAATGCAAGTCTTCTTTCTGTTTATTTAAAGATTCAGGTATCAGTGGAGAAAAACAAAACAAACCATGAGAAGGCTTCAAAGGATATCAGGGGGGCCCTAGGCTGCAGTGCTGTTGGTGCTATATGGAATTTTTCCAGCAGTTTCTAGGAAGCTTACAGATCTGCAGATTTTGCAGCAATTCCTTGTCAATGCTGATGCAGAATTTCCACAATCTCAGCTTCACTTCGGCACAGAAGACCTAGTCAACTMTGGATACAGAGATACAAGCAAACAAGGACAACCCTAGAGACAGGAACATACCCCATTGCTGACGACTCCAAAAATGTCTCGGACGTCGCGCACGGGATGCTTGTGCTTCCTCCGCCGGGAGCGGGAGTAGGTGTCCAGCCTCCGCTGCACGGCCGCGGCCTGCGTCTTGGTCAGGGTGGAGAGCAACACGATGTTGTCGTTCTCCGAGGCCCGGTCGCCCAGGAGGTCGGAGAGGCCGGCGTCCTGCAGCCAYTCGGCCTCGGCGTCCCCTTCTGCGGGCATGGGAATGGAGAAGAGGAGACAGCGGTGAGAACATGGAAGGTGGTGGTAGTTTGACTACGTAGAGCACAGTAGGGCTAGAAAACCAAGAATCTGAGCTTCTCTCCCAGGTAAATCTGCTTCTACAAACTTCAGTTTGGGAGGGGAGCTCTGACAGTAGCAGAAGCACATGGCAAGTTCAAAGGAAATGGCACTGACTCCCTGGAGTATCCATGGACTCATGACAGCTTCAGTAGATCCAAACCCAGCTCTTTGGGAAGTCCCAACCTCCAGCACTGCACACACGGATCTTGTGCTCACCTCCATCATTCAGCTGTTTAACTAACCTCATCTATATGCAAACCCATGTATCAACCAAGGCTTTTCCAGGATTCATTTGTTTTTAAACATCCAGACACTCACCTGGTCTATTCACACATATTTCATTCAACAGAGTTGCTGGCAGAATTATTGTATTGTACTGCCACTATTCTCAATATCCATACATTCAATACACAAAAGCAGAAGGGTTATAACATATTATAAAGCTATGCASAAGTTAAGGCCATCTATGCCTATCCAAAGCGCCACTAAAACTAAAGATCACTCCAGCTGCAAAATAAAGGATGAAAGCCTGGAAACACTAAAGGCAGCATAATTGAGACGAGCTTGATTTCATGCCATTCTTAATTAAAACTGCCYTTCAAACACCTAGAACAGTTTTCCCTCAGATGTTTGTGCCCTAAGCAAAGAGGCTACCTGAAAACCAAAGATAAATGTTGTAATTTAGCAGGTAGCTGCAGCTTGAGTACAGCGAATGCCAAAGCTTTTACCCTTCCATTTCCTTCATTTACTGCAGGCAGCTGCAGGACAGCTTTGTTTAAGGGCATATCGAAAAGAAAAGGATGCTGATCTGACTGAAACAATAGTTTGTTCCTATTCTTCCTTTCCAATGCAAACTGATATTTCCTCAATAAAAACTTGCCTGAGCAGCTGTGTTAATTTTAGCATTAGTAGTTTTAAAAAAAGACTTGCATCTCCTATGAGATGCAACTTTATTTTTTCCTCCCACCGTGAGGAAGCCACTATTTCATTACAGCACTTAAGAACACACAACAAATATCCTGTAAAGCCTGAAGGTACTTGACGAAGAGGCAGAATCTTTTTGCTAGCTGCACAAAAAGAGAACTTCTTTTCAGCATCRCACCACGGGAAGCAGAATTGGACTTAAAGTTGGTGTTTCCTTTTGGAAATTTTCTGGCAAACCCACTAGCATTCCTACTGCATTTTTAATTTTGCTCATTTCTCACCACCAGTTGCACAGAAGCTGACACCTACCAGCAGCTCCACCAACATACGCACTTGTTTACGGTTACTCACATTTTTATAGGCTCCAATCTGGGTACTCTCACTGGACTTTTATTTTGTTACATATCTGCAATTTCACAGAAGCACGGGGTGCAAAAGTCCTGTTTGTTGTGTCTTTGGGAACTAAAGGAAGCCAACTGCTTGCAAATTTTGAAAATATCCAGCTCCAGTCATAACAGGAAACTAATCTAACACACAGCACTAAAGAAGGATGTCTGATTTATTGTCTTTGTTAGACCTACAGCCCCATTTGATGACAAAGCACTCAAATTATTCCTATTTTTCAATTTAACATTTTTGGCCCAGTTACATTTGCTTAGTAACACWAAAGGAAAGCATAAAATAGGGTATCTACAGGGGGAAAGGGAGACAGGGGTGGAAATCACTGTCAGAATAGAGAGGCTTACAGAGGTTTAACTGCAGATCTAAGTCTGGGGAGCTGTTAATATTCTCCTTTAAGCCCTGGAGGAACAGCATTCCTGGGGCAGGGGGGAAGCATCASTGCTGGGAATAAGCAGTCAAAACTAGGGAAAACCAGCTGCAAGGACCTGCTCAAAACCTGAGCTGACCACAACTGTTTTCATGACTAATTGCACTTAGCTTCCAAAAAGTTAAAGGACAGCTAAGCATCCTGCAAACGGTTTCCAACAAAGCATTCAGCAAAACTTCCCAAGTGCTTTTCAAAACAAAATGAGAAATTCTGCACCCTCTGCAGACCCGACTACACCCCTGAGCAGCTAGGCGCAGGGATGCTAGCAGGGATAGTGGAGTGGTACTACTGCCCTAGTGCCTGCCCCGTGACTGTGCTGCACTTCAGAGTCAGGATGGATCTGCAAAAAAAATAAACAGCTGGAAAATGACCATGCTTCGTGCATTTGAGGAAAAAAAAATCTAGTTTCTGCCCACTTTAGCTGTCAGCAAAGCCATGAATGCCTTTAGCACCAGTAGCTCTGCACTGTCCCTGTTCTRCTGCCGATTTGCACCCCGGCCTCCCACTAACAGTTGGTCCCATAAACAGCTCCCCATCCTGCCACCCTCCTGCAGGGCCATTCACAAAACCAGCTTTTTCCAGCAGGTTTCACAGTTTTCCCTGTGCCTTCTCTACAGGCAGCCTCCGTGCCACAATTAGCATCAGCTCTTTGCCAAGTGGAGCCATCCTGTCTCCAAATGGAGCCACGACCTGCTGCCTTAGAGCAGCAGRCGGAGCCTCCGGGGCTGCAGCATCCATGGAGAGCCAGGCAGGAAAGCCAGAAGGATCTAACCAGCTCCCATACACCTGCCAACCTGCAGGCTCCCCTTGCTACTTGTGCTTTGAGCACGAGATCCCTTTGAGTAAACCGCTTTCCAGCAGGCACCCATAGAGTTTCTCCTTCCAGAGCTTYGCCCCTTGCAGCATCATTTCAAGTTTGCCCAGTTTCAGCCGCCAGTTAAGCAGGTAGCTCTCGCCTACCAGATCAAGAGGCACCATCAAGAGAAGCTTCTCCCTGTGTCCCGGCTCACACGCAGCAATCAAATTGCCTCCAGCATATCAGTCTTCTGGGTGTCCCAGACAGTCTTTCATCTCATGGCATGGCCTCTTTTCAGAGTCTCCTCCCCCACGCTCTCATTTTCTGAGTCACTCTGATATCCCCCTTCCAATTCTAAATAAAACAAAGCCCTTCATGCAGGGACACTAATTGCAGCTTTTGGTATCTACCACATCATGCCCATCAGTGCAGATGCTCCTTCCCTCATCTTTACTCTCCAAAACCYACCTTTAAGCATCCAGGAAACCTATTTACCCTTCCTTGCCTTAGCATCACGCTAGGACTTTCACTCAAAACTTTCTCCATTCACCTGGATCCTTCCCAGGATGAGGTCAGAATAACCACAGGAAGCTCTGCAAGCTACAGTCCCAGCCAGTGAAAGGACAGGCCAACCAGCCCAAGCACATGGTTCCACAGACACAGAAAATGCATGCTCTGCATCTGCAGGACTGCATGTTCCTTAGCAGCATCCCAGGATTTTGCACTCTCACATCAAAATGCAATTTTACTCCCCAAATTGATTGTTTAAGAAAATTTGAAGCCTTGAATGTACTACTGACTGATCTTTAAAAGTCAACTGTGTTTCAGAAGTTCAAACTAGCCCAGACTAGCACATTTCTATAGGGAATTCACCCGCCTTGCTCCACATGGTGGATAAGAACAAACAAAATAAAACCAAAACAAAGCTGTTACCAAATCTTGGTAATACTCTAATTACACCGCAACGTGCTTGCAAATCATYCAGGTGCATAAGAAATTTTTATCTCCAAGATGCTCTGTCTTCCTCCCCTCGCTCCCAGCGGTTTTGGCAACCTACCCTCTTGTGCTTTGACATCTGCAAGGCTGCATTCTTCTTGCTCGGCTTCATTGCTCTGCTTAATGTTCTCTACTTCCAGCCAAAAACTGTCCATTGACAAGTGGTCCAGAGAATCCACCCTGGAGTTGACGCRCTCTGAAAACAGGGATGCCAAGGGACTCTTTGGAGGAATCTGGCTCATTTTGCAGGGATAGTTTCTGGTACTGAGGGAGGAAGAGATAAGGAGAGACAGATTAAGCCACACGTTCAGTTATGACATTCTCAGTACATTCTTCAGTGATTAATGACTGAAATAAAAGCCAAACAGAGGTAAGGGCCAAGCTTCCTTTTGCTAGTGTTTAGCAATGACAGGCAAGGTCAGGCTCAAGTCCAACAAAGTAGGAGAAAACTGCTGTACAAATGATGTGAGACAAAGCAGCATGAACACGTTTTGCTCAACTGTCCTTCCAGCAACCTCTTAAGACACCTCCCGTTCCCACGTTTGCTTCCAAGATCCCTCCTGCAAGCAGGCACAGATGCTCTGCGTTCCCAACCAGGCCATTTCAAGCTTTGTGCATGTGCACACAGGTGACCTGGCACGCACAGCGAGTCTGATGAGTCCCAACCAGGTCAGGCCTGTCCTCTGCGTGCAAAGTCAGCACGGCCTGCATTTCAGCAGGCACAAACAGCTCCCATATTTAAGGCCCTCTTTTCCTGCCCAGACCAGATTTTTCACATTCGTGAAACAGCAAAAGTGTCCTGGGAAACCCAAACACTCAGAAATTTTTACCACCCTGCTGATTCACGAGCAACCAAGACTTCAGACTGGTCCAGCTCAGCTGCACTTTCAACCTCTCCAAAGAAAGGTGTAAGATCGTAACCACTTCACAAAATAATGCTGCTCCTAAAATGAAATGYCATTCTCTTCAAAGGGTTGTAAGCCTTTTAAACCCCACTGTATGCCTTTTACAAAGGCTTAAAAKGAAGAGGGATAAATTTAACCTAGTTATTAAAAAAGCCTCAATGGTTCAAATAYAAAACTCAGGAGACTACACACGAACTCTGGACAGTTTGAAAGGTGTTATCAAGAACATGTAGAAATCACTACGCCATCACTACAAAACAGATTTCTAGGCTCAAGATAAAGTAGATCAAATCTTATGCCAAGTGTTATGGGATATTCTGCCCTTATACTTACATGCTTACGTACATATTTCACACATTCCCTCTTCCAGCATGCATGCAGGCAACCCTTTTCTTCCAAAGGTCAAAACTAAGGCGATAACCATCATTCTGAGAACATCTGGAGCCAGCAATAGCACGGAGAACAAGAACAACAAGTTCTTTCTTTTTTTTATTTTAATATAAACAGGAACACAGAAGTTAAAGATTGAAGAGAGCTATTATGCCATTCAGTCCACCTCCGACAAGGCCAGAAGTGTCCTGTGTTACAGATTCCTTCCTTCCCATTCATAACTAATGCACCTTTCTCTCAATCCTATCATAGCTGCCATGTCAAACTATTATTTTCTTTCTCCTTTTTATTTTTTTTTTGTCCTTATGCATTGGAATAGGAATTTGGATCACTTCCCTCATACTAACTCTACAGCTGTAATATTTGCCTGCCCCTTTTCCTTGCATTTTTGACAGCCTTCTTCTAAGACAATTAAACACAGTGACTATGCCACTATCCCTACCCTGCCATGATATCCCACCAGAATGTTGTTACATGATAATCAGTAGAAGTCACCGCTTGAGTGATGAAAACAGCAGGAGATTTGGGATCATCTTGAGGGACTTTGCTTTGGCCARCAACAGCTCCAGAAACACCGTGGCAGCCCAAAGAGCACTGAAGAGCAGCCTCTCGGTGCAAAACACTATGCAGGCTAATTCTTCTGTATTCAGCCTCATGCAGCACCTGAGAAATCTCCTTGGGTTCATCCTGGGATAGAAGTTATATCCAGGTTTGCAGACCCAGCAGAACCTAACCAGCTGAGGGCAGCTCGCACAGAGCACACGCATCCCATGGTGAGTCTGCTTCACCGTAGCTCCCCAAGCCTGAACGAGGCCTGCCCAAAAAACAAACAAGCTTTGAAGACAACACAAACAGAGTCTTCAGCTCTTTCAAAGGTGTGACTGTCGCCTTGTATGGTCCACATGATTTACCCAGATACCAGATTCTGCATGGAAGCTTTCATCCGGGAGATGCCATGACCAAGTGGAACCTTATAAGGCTCAGTAACTTATTACTCCTCCTGCAAGTTATGCCTGTGTGGAGCACCTGGTAGGCCTCAGACGATTTGCACACCTGAATAGCACGGGGAGGCAGGGCTGGTGGCTCCCCAGTCCTGGACTAGGGTACGAGGTCTCAGGAGAGGTTTTTTTCTGTTCCTAGATACTGTCAACACATAGCAAATGCCTTGTAAACAGTCACGCATCTTTTCACCCTCTTGAATATATTAAACTCAAYACCGTTGCTATGTAGTTGGTCACTTCAAGTTTGAATCACTCTAGCCAGCTTCTTGCAGGATTTATGGCTGCCTGGGACACTTCATGACTTGCTCAGTGTCCTTTSCTCACTGAACATAGCTTTGCAGCAGGAAGGAACCTCTTCACCCATCTAAGTGTTTCAATCAGGACAGGTCGTGACAAGCATGAGCCAAGAAACTGCAACTCTTAATACTGCTTCCAAAAACTAAAACAAAAGACCCCAAAACTAAGATGAAAAAGAAAGGCAACAAAAAAAAAAAAAAAAAAAAACAAAAAAAAAAAACAAACAAAAAAAAAAAAAAAAAACACCAAACACAGATAAATTAAGTTATACAAGATGGAGCCTTCTACACAAGCACCTAGTTGTAGGAAATGTCCAAAGATCTGGGTCAAACACAAAGGCACACACATGGTGGAGGTGTGAATTAGCCTGAAGAGCTGGACACCAAGTCACAGAATTACAACTATCGAATCGACCACTAATTCAGAAGAAGAAAAAAATAAATTATGGTCACAAAACATGCATGTCTTACCAGTTTTCAGTTTATTTCAGGGTCAAAACCCAGCTGATTGGCACAAGATTAAAGTAAACAAAATGTTCATACAGGAAATGCTTCTCTAACTTGCTTTCAAGATCCTATCATAAACAAGCAGTTTAAATCCAATTGCAGGACTGTACAGTTAATTCTGAAGAGCGAGAAATATCTAAAGACCTGCCAATCACAGCTTGCAACAGGTTGGATTCTTAYTATAAAAACATGTAGTAGGCATCAAAAAAATAGGTAAGACTATTTGAAAAGCTAGAGAAAGTCTTGGCGTATTAGATAAGGAAAAATGGAGGTAATTATTGAAAGAATTAAACGTTTTAACATTTTTTTAAAAGGTGATTAAAAGTAAAACTAGAAAAGCTCCCCGTATAATAGAAGTTGGTCTACCTATTACTAATTTTTTAAAAAATAAAYATTATCAAGTATTTCATTTAGGCATACAGAATTAAACAGAACTGTGCTTGCACTGCACAGACAGCAAACTGCCATGAAGCAATGACTTGGGCAACACAAGCTCTACCACAGTCTCCAAACGGAGCAGAATCCATTCACATTCCTCAGTCCTGAGAGCTCTGCCACAAACCTTTCAAGCCCAGTTCTGTTCTCCTGGTGGTTCCCTAAACTGAGGGCACTGAGAACAGCCTCAAACATATCCCACCCCTCAGGGTAAAGAATGACAACACTTAAGATGATTCTTGGGAGACAGAGTGAAAAGCATACAGATGATTTAAGCATCTTAGACCAGACCATAAGCATAAGGACAGACTGATTATCAGAATACTGTGGTAAGAAGAACAGTAAGCTCTCCAATATATATTCTTAACATGCTCTGTTTTTCCCGGTCTGACAAAACCAAAGCARTTTAAGAGGCATACTTAAAGCAGTCTGCCATTGCTGACATATCTTCACACATCTCTAACCACMGGGGATCCACTCATTTACCTAATGGCTTTCACTGACATGTAGACCACGCTATGGGCATCCCCTACAAAGAGGGAGATTTAATAACTCCATTTAATAAAACACCACTGCCAACCACAAGCCACACTTCTATTAAGGGAGGGGTTTTAATCAAGGCCTTGCCGTACCTGTCTAGTTGGGCTCTGTGTCCGTAGCACTATCAGGAAGAGCCAAGATCTCACTACTACACTTTGCTAATAGGGTTGTTTGGAGTAACACAGCAATCAGTTCATCAAGATCTTCCATTATGCAAGCAGCTCTGGGAGCAGCGTCATATTTAAGGTTGTTTTRAAGAAGCCTGTTCTACAAGTGATGAGGAGGACACAGCGGACAGCTCTGCATACATTGAGCAACTCCTGCAGGAGCTGCCATTYCCCCTGCCCTATCAAGGGCACAGGCCTTTCCCAAGTCCCCATCTCCTGCCCTGCATCCTGCTTCCACCAGCAAGCAGAAACAACTTGCCCAGCACTCTGTGGAGTTCCTGAACCCTGACGGTTCTGAGTAACCCGCTGCTTTCCCATAGCACCTTCACCACTTCGTTGCAGACTTGGTCTCTTTGGATAATTTGTGCATTACTTCAGATTTCCAGGGCTGTGATGGAGTTAACAGCTTGCCTGGCAGTAAGTATTTACATTACAGTATTTAAGACCAAATAAACTTTGTCTCAACGCTTGCCTTTCAAACCTACATTTAGAATAGACTCATCTGCTCTGGAAAGGATCCAAATAACCAAGCCAAGGCGCAGCAAAACTTCCCTATAACTGTTGATCTACCGAGAGGTCAGTCTGTCACACTGAAGTTTAGAGCTTCACTTAAGCACAGGATTGATGAATGCATGTAGATGCAGCCAATTCAAAAATGCTCAAAGCCATGCTTAAGTGGGTGTCCAGTTCATGCCACCTCTTCCTCTATGAATTTAAGCCATGCTCTGTGTGTATGCTCAGCTTTCACTGCCGGTCAGCACAGACGAGCCCCTTGGTCTCTCCTCAGCACTAGCGGGTGAAGCAGACATGACCTCCAGTCCAGTCAGGACATGGAAATCCTGCTATCAGCAAGGAGGACATGGCCAAAACAAGAGTTTGGGGACCACTGCAATACTGATTTAAACTCTGGATAGATAAATCTGATGGTTTATATGGGAATCAGATATTAAAGGAGGTGGCACCTCCATCTCTGTTTCCATCCTCACATGCTCCACGTGCACCTCAGCAGTGCCAGCACTTTTG